GTAATGCTCAGTATCTCTATGTCCCTACAACATCATCACATACATACCAGAACTAATTTACATTGCATGTTCTCATGGTTATTAGATAATTCTTTAGCACTGCTCTTGCACCTCCCCAATTCAGGGGTCATTAGGGGTCTTTGATGAAGGCTTCCAAGGCCTTCTTTGCATCTGAACTTTTCAACTTTGGAGCATGTGCAGTTATGGTGTTCCTTGGTCTGTCTGGTCTTCACAGGCCTTAATTCTTTGTTTTGTGGCTAATTGGCTTTGCACTTGACAATTCTTTATTAGCACTATATTTATCTATCTCTAAAGCTATCCACCTGGTGAATTTTTTCTTATTTTTTTGTCTATTCAGCATTAAGCAACTAGTTAACCATATACTAGCCATTACATTGTATAAAATGTTATTTATATCAGGATATATAGGTATAAAAGTTATGATTCAGGTTATATAGGTATAAAAAAGCTATGATTTAGGTTATATAGGTATCAGGTTATATAGATATATCAGGTTATATTGACAGCTTATAACTCAAGCTATATAAGCACCTTGTAACTTTGACCTAAGTTATATAGGCATCAGTGTGATATCCATCACATTATTGCGTTTATGTCAGAGAATGTGCAGCTCTCTAAGAATAAACAGGATAAGTCTAAATGGTTTGGAAGTCGTGCATTATCAGATACAAAACAAGACTAATTTACATTATATATTTCAATTTTATGAAACCATAGTAAAATCAGTAGAAAATACAGGAGAATTATTTGTAGAAAAATAAAACATATGTGCTGCAAACAGTTAACCTCTGCATTACAGCAGACATGTTCATGCCCACTATGTAGATGTCTTAGGGATAAAAATATTATTGAGAAATAATACTGGTGCAATCCTATTGAAAACAACCAAAAACAACCAGCTTCAAAGAAACCTTCTAAACTTTTGTCCTGTTTTGAGACAAGTTAGGAGGAAAAGTTTCATGAGATGAAGGTGTCCTCTAATGGAAGGCAGGTTTCAGCAGGCCCTCCCCCACAGGTTTGAAAGGAATTTCTTGGAGGAAAGTGAATAAAACCTGTTTATTTAACAAGCAGGGTGCAAACAGGACGAAGAAAAAAAAAAAAACAATAATGTTAGATAATGTGAAAAATGCATGTATTTTATGATTGGCTTTTCGCAAATATTAAAATAAATATTATATGTGTTGTGTTAGAAAGTAATGCTGTATTAGTTTTCTTAAGTACTGTGTAAAATATAGTTTTAGGTTATAAAAATTGTTAAAATAGAAACGATGCTATGTAGGATACTTTTTTAAAAAGAAAGGACTCGCAGCGAGATAGCAGCCACAGGACACCTAAATCTTTCAGAGAAGAAGAATTTATGGCCCTCTTATCAGAAGAAACGAACTTCTTCCCGCCTCGAAGGCGCTGTTAGGATTTGGAGGAAGTTGACGATGACCAGACAGAATCCTGTGTTTGAATGGAATTTATGCATCATGTATGAAGTGTATGAATATGCAACAGGCTATTGTTTTTAAGGGTTAATCCTTTGTTAACGGGAGTCCTTTTTCGGGCTCGTGCTGCCCAGAAAAAGGTACCCGGACGTCGGTAACTCTTTGTCTTTATTGTCTCATATTGTCCTAATTCAGTTTGTCCAAATTAATATTACTCTAATTATATTACTATTTTTATAACCATTTTATTACTATTAAACTTTCAAAATTTTGAAAACAAGTGATTGGCGTTTTTAACAATAATAAACCTTTTTGTTGTAGAGAAAGATGGTGGATCTTTTTAGAGTCCTGCTTGGAGCTGGGATGCGGTGTCCCTGCAGCGTCTTCCCGCCCGGCTGTGGCATGGGCTCCTGGTGTTGGTCTGGTTTTTTCAGACTGGAGCAAAGCTGAAGAGTTCCAGAAAAAGCCACAGTCCCGGGGAACCTTCTTGTCTCAGCTAACAAACGAGAAGCTAGCTAAAAGCATTTTAACTCTCTGACTCTCTCCTGAAAAAAAGAGCCGAGAGCTGTGAAACAAACCGAGGGAGTTATCTGTGTTTTGAACACAGGCTGCTGAAAGAATTTCACCGGCTTCCCCCCCTCTCCCCCCCGGACCTAGCTTAAAGGTACAGGACTCCTGTCTGGGCATAAAGCAGATGATAGGGGATACAGTATCATACAGTCACCCAAGGATAGAACCAGGATAGCCATAGTAGTGATAGAAAGCTCATGTTTTGTATTTAATTATGACATTCCAGTATACAACTTCAGAGCTCCTGACTGTTTTCTTAGCTGGGCAGTCAGGCACTGGGCAAAGGTGAAGATGAAAAACTGCACAAATCCCGCTCACATTATTATTCAGCTCTAGCTAGCAGTCTGACTTCTGTGATCTTCATGACTTAAAGTTTTCCTTGTATCATTGTGAGTATATAAACTGACAAAACCCAATTCACTATCCTTTTTGCAACTTAAATTAGGATATTAAGTGACCAAAGAGTTCTCATTCTGTAACTGTCTTGGATATTAAGCTTTTGATCTGCTTCATTATATCAATATAAAATATTTTTTCTCTGAGGAAAAATTAGCATCAAGGCACATTTTGTAAACATGTATAAATGTCATGCACACACAGCTACTAGTCCTACTATCACAGAACTATTAAATGGGATTACTTGCTTGTATGAAATTGCTGGTGTGGATATTTGTTTGCTGGATCAGAACATCAATGAGGAATTGTGAATATGATAATGCACTAGATTTTTTAGCATGTTATTTTATGGAATTTTTTGATCTGCTATGTTACTATAAATGAAAAATAAATCTGATCAGAGAAACAGAAGAGTAGACACAGTTACTGTCTTATTTTTCATATGTAAGTCAGTGTTCCTTGAGGAAATAGGATTATCATTATTTTTGTTTAGTCATTTAAGATTTAAAATTTCCAGTGGTGAACTTATAATTGGTTGAATAGATAATTAAATGTTAGAGAAATTTAAAGAACCCATATTCCTCTTCTGAAAGAATTTATATTCCTGTTTGTGAAAAACGCCAATCACTTGTTTTAAAATTTTGAAAGTTTAATAGTAATAAAATGGTTATAAAAACAGTAATACAAATTAGAGAAATAAGAATTTGGACAATCAGAGTTAGGACAATAAAGGACAATAAAAAAGCAAAGAATTACGGATGTCCAGATGCTTTCCTCAAAAAAGCCTGTCTGCTAACAAAGGATTAACCCTTAAAAGCAATAGCCTGTTGCATATTCATATATCTCATACATGATTCAAAAATTCTTTTCAAACAAAGGGTGTTTTCTGGTTATTGTCAACTTCCCCTCCCATCTTGTAAATCAATTGTCTTGGTCTCTCAAAGTCTGGTTCTTCCCGATAAGGAGGCAAGAATTCTTTTTCTTGGGTTTATTGGTCTCTTGTTGCTGTTATCTCTCCTTGAGCTAGTTAGAAAAAGTATCTTACATCACAGTTTCTGTAGCCTAAAATTATATTCACCACACTACTTAAAAAGATTAGTACAGCACTACAAAAAAAAGGATGAATACAACATAACTTTCCAACATTACACATATAGTATTCATTTTAATATTTGTGAAAAGCCAATCATATAATATGCATTTTTCACACTGTTCAAAGGCATGAAATGGTGTATTTGGAAGGAAATACTGGAGTTTAAAAGAATCAGATGTGTTTTGGTGAAACAGTAGATATGATCTAAACTGGTAATGAATGTTCCTGAATGACCAGTTGGCTTTGAACACCTTTGGAACTTTTATGGGAATCACAATGTTTTTGAAATATGCTTTTATGGAATGGGCTGTGCATGTGCATGAAGTGGACAAAAGAAACTTGGTGTACAAAATGTTTAATTGTTCATATATACAAAATTCAAATTAAACTATAAACTTGCATACAAAATAATAATGATTTGTAATTAAAGCAGCGTAAAATATATTTATAATAAATAATTATATTAATTACTACTACTCGAAAACCTATATACAAAATTATTTTGTCCAGTGTCACAGATCACTAATGATGCCTTTAATAGTAAGCTAATTAAACAAAATTATTTTTATATGTATTTTCCATATAGGTGTGCAGCTCACACACTGTTGACATTATACAAGTAAACATTAATGAACTATTTGCCTGCTAATACATTCAACTGATGTGTCTAAGATGTTTTCCCTTGTATACTGACTGCAAAGATTGGGTCTTTGGATGATGCCAGACCAAATATCTGTGAAAAATAAACCCCCGTGTTTCCTCAGAGAATAGCTAAAGTGTATGCAAGGATTGGTCCTCCATAGGCTACTTCAAGAGACCCCAACATCAGCTTCCTCTTTGTGTTAAAGCAATATCTCTATTTTCCTCAGTCTTTGGTCTCTGTTGATATTACTGAAGAAAGCCACATTGACAGTATTATGGTGTTGAAATTCAAGACTTTTGAATTTTTAAGTAGAAATTAAATATGGTATTTAATAAAGAAAGTATATTTCAGGCATAGAAGATTTGCATTTAGGCAACTAAGCTGTAGTTCCAAAGCACTGCATTAGCTTTCTTTCATCAAGCTGGTGACAAGTCTTTATTTACAATATATTTCAAAAAGTAATACATTAAAAAAATACTTGCTCTCCATATGGATATATTAAAATCATAACTTAGAATATACATATTCTAGAATTAGATGCTGTTGCTTTTGGGAAGCTGATGTGAATTTCATCATCCTGAACATTTTATTTAAAAAAAGGACCCTGTTGAACTGGTAGGGTAGAGGTTGTTTTCCAATAAGGATTATATCTATTTAAAAAAATCTGTTCATTAATATTTTCTGAATTTAAAGTTTTGATGATTTGAGCACCTGGATTCTCATTTAAGCATTCAGTCATAGGATTTTTTCACAATTCTATTTTTCCTGGATATTTAAAAAAAATTATAAGACATTGTAAGAAAAAAATATAAAGAGGGCTCTGACCATTCTCTTTCTGTCTGTGCAGTTTGGCAATCAGCAAACATTGGGAGGCAGAACTGGCCACACTCAAGGGTAATAATGCTAAGCTCACTGCCGCCCTGTTGGAGTCCACTGCCAATGTAAAACAATGGAAGCAACAGCTTGCTGCATATCAGGAGGAAGTGGAACGTCTTCATAAGCGAGTAAGTCGAAGTAAACAGCCAAGATCCTTAAAGTGGAAGTGCTGGTGACTATTCACTCTTTTTGAAGTATTGTGGTATCCCAAGCCCCAGATTATATACAGGTGGGAATGTTTGGTACCTCCGCCAGGGCAGGGAATTTCACAATGGGGGGGTGATGTAATTCTATGAGTCATTCTGGGGAGTCCTTCATGGCCCATTAGCAGAGATGGCTTCCTCAAGCATGGCTGCTGCTTCCCCTGAGGGAGTTATCACGTTGAGTCATGGCAAAGATAAAGAAACACTGCTCCAACGATTTTAACAGGTGATGTAGATGGCAGTAGAATACATACTTTAGTTAGATCTTACATTGTAACCCAAGGCAAACATATAGAAAGGAGTTGTATTAATATTTTTAATATAAGTTCATGTCATCGGGACAGTGGGAGATTCAGGCAAAGTTTACTGAAGAAGCCCTGAAGCTTAATCTGAGGTGCAGAAAGGATTCCTCCGTGTGTTAAAACTCCTTCATAGAAAGAAGTTTAAATGAATACAAATCCTTCCTTAGCCTCCAATTTTGGCAACAGTTTAAATTTAAGGAATCACTTTGTCCTGCAAGCTCTAATGATGGCAAATCCAGAATTTTTATATAAAAATGAATTATTTATTAAGACAAATGAACAGACAAGAGATAACAGACAAAACAATCAGAATTACTTACTACACAGTATAAAAATAAAGAACCACTAGTAGATTACAGCATAGCATAAAACAGAAATGCCAAGTCATGGCAAGCCCCTGTCTTCTGCCTTTCGGACCCCAGCTTCTCTCTCTGTAACCCCATAGGTCACTTCTCCTTAACCCCTGCTATTGGACAATCTCTGATCCCCCCTGTTAAAAACACCAATCACTTGTTTTCAAAATTTTAAAAGTTTAATAGTAATAAAATGATTATAAAAATAGTAATACAATTAGAGTAATATTAATTTGGACAAACTGAATTAGGACAATATGAGACAATAAAGACAAAGAGTTACGGACGTCCGGGTACCTTTTTCTGGGCAGCACGAGCCCGAAAAAGGACCCCCGTTAACAAAGGATTAACCCTTAAAAACAATAGCCTGTTGCATATTCATACACTTCATACATGATGCATAAATTCCATTCAAATACAGGATTCTGTCTGGCCATCGTCAACTTCTTCCTCCAAATCCTAACAGCGCCTTTGAGGCGGGAAGAAGTTCGTTTCTTCTGATAAGAGGGCCATAAATTCTTCTTCTCTGAAAGATTTAGGTGTCCTGTGGCTGCTATCTCGCTGCGAGTCCTTTCTTTTTAAAAAAGTATCCTACATAGCATCGTTTCTATTTTAACAATTTTTTTTTGCCTACAGGTTCTTAATTTGGATGGGTTATAACAGTGGCTGTTGACATAGGTGTGTGTAATAAAAGAGGAACTTTGGTTTCTTTCCATGTGATGCTTTCTGTAGCATTTGTGACACGATCTTGCTGGTATCCCGAAAGGGAAAAGACAGCAAATGTGCACCAGAAACAGGAATAACAGAGGTCCAGTATGGCTTATACTCCCACCTCCCATGCCTGTGAGGTTGCAACCCACAGCAGATGTATTTGATCTTCTCGGTGGCAAAATACAGAGGCCAATCTGGTCTTGCCCTCTATTTCCTTGTCACTTTCTCTTAATTAGTTTCCAGGCAAATTGTTTTTGACACCCTTTAACTGTGGTCTCTTACTGTTCCTCAGGTATCTCTCATTCAACAGGCCCTAATAATTCCCATCCACAAAACAAAGTTATTACTTTAACACTTTTTGCAATAAGAGCATAAATTTTGTGAACCACAATACTAATTATTCCCACAATTCAAGCATTTACTTATAACCCAGCTAGCATGTCCAGTACTGGAATGAATCAAATAAAGTTTACTAATGGAAATAGTAATTCCCCTTCTCCCCTGTACAATTCACAGGCTAAGGTCAGAATACAAAAACAGTCTTGATCTTTCTATCTGAAGTATTCCTCCCCAAAGGAGATGTTTTATTCAGGTAGTGCTTGAAACCAGTGATGTAAGCATTGTCTTACTTCTTACTTCAGTGTTATTCTTTGTACATTTCTTAGATCATTTGGGTTTTTCTAAACTATTACCATTCAGTCCCCATTGGAAAGTCAGTTCGGTATCACCCAGTTTAAATGTGATATATTCTTCAGGTTTCTTCACAAGTCTTTTGATTCTGTTGGCATTAATTCACCCTCTTTCCATGATTCCGATTGTTGCTTCAGTAGTACCTGGGAAGGACTTCATTATAGCATAGTAATAAAAGAAAGACAATACTGCATTGACTTCTACCATTCACTTTTCTTCTAAACTTTCTGGGTTTAGCTAAAAGCTTTCTCCACAGCAGCCTCTTCTTCTTCTATCCAGCTGTGCTAATAGTTGCAGAGGCAAATTCTTCTTTCTGTGAGTTAGAGTTAGTTAAATAAGAAAAGCCTGACCAATTTCAACACGAGATGTATCACATCTATTGTTTTTTTACTTTTTGGGCAGCATTTAATTGTTTTAGCCTTACAAACCCATTCTTCAGGAAAAAAAACCAACTTCTTTTTAACAGCAAAACACACAAAAGAAAAAAAACCCCACTTACTTAAGAAAAACAACCCACTTTGTGAGGTTTGGAGAGTCATCAATCTCTGCTTTGATTTTATCTTTTAGTGCTAGCCCCCTCCCCCTCTCTTCACAACCTTGCTGTCAATGCTGTTCTTCGCCCTTCCCCGGTGCTGCCACTTCGCTGCAGGGCCGGAGCAGGGGAGAACAGCCACGGGCATGGGGACCCTGGGGGCTGCCTTGAGTCTCTTTTGCCCTCTCTCTCTCTTCTTCTCTCTCTTTCTCTTTCCTTCTCTCTCTCGGCCCACTTACCGGGGCCGACGCTGCCATCCTCGACTCGGGACCCCGACAGTCTGGGAGCCACCCCGGCAGTTCGGCCACGGAGCCAGCCCGCTCCTGCCCGGCAAACCTGTGTCCTCTGCTCCCAGCACCGCCGCTGGGTCACCTCCATGGATCGGTCCCTTCCGCAGCCTCCGAGACCCCGCCGCTTGTAGGGAGCGGTCAGACATCTCCCAACCTTGACAACCCCAAACTTGGCGTCTTCAGGTGCTCCTGACATTCTTTTTCTTTCTCTAGTCAACTTATCCTCTTTTCTCTTCAAGCAGGGCCCGTTCTGCTAAACCCTTTCTGGACCACAGTTCGGCATTGAATAACCTCCTAACAACCATGTGTTAAGACACTTCCCTGCCTTTCATGCAAAAAACCTGCATTCACACTCCTGCTCTCTTCTAGCACCAAGATGTCATCACTCCACATTCTAACATCTCAGAGTTTGCTAACCACCCCCCTACTTCAACTTCTCTCTTTCTTTCCTTCTTACCTGTTTTTTTGTTTGTTTTTTTTTTTTTTTTTGATTCAACACACCTCAGACGGTACGAGGTGAACTTAACTAATTTATTCTAAAAGTAAGCTTAGAACTTTCTTTTACTAGGATTGCAGTAGCTGTTATAACTTAAATACATACTGGCTAGCTGTGGCTTACTGGGTCTAACATCTTTTGATATATATATAAGCTGCTAGATATTTTTTACTCTTCTTCACTCCTGAATTAAAATTTTATGAGCTACTCCATTTTCTGTATTTATGTATAAATGATAAAGGATTTTTCAAACAAGGGTAAGCTTAAAGCTAGTACTTAGGCTAGTTTTAACTTAACTCTTTTAATTTAACAATATCTTCCTTGGTCCGTTTTATATCATCTCCCTCTGTCAATTTTTTTTCATACACAAATTTTGCTACCTGTGTGTACCCCTCAATCTATAATCTATAATATTTCAATAATCTAGGTAATTTTCTGATCTCCCTCTTTGAGGAGGGAGGGAGAAGGAATAAAATTCTTGCAATTTTCTCATGGTTGGGTTTCCAGGTACTTTTATTTATTAAGTGTCTAAGATATTTTACCACTGGGTAGTGAGTCTGAGTTCTTTTATTAACCTCCCTTAAATCTTGTACTAGTCTATAACTCCCATCAGACTTTACTGGGGGAATAGGGATATTATGAGGAGACATACAAGGTTCTAATGCCCCATCCTTTATTAGTCCTTCTATGACTGGCTTCAAACCTTCCTGTCCTTCTAAAGATACAGGATACTGACGTACACGTATGGGACAATCTTCTCTCTCAATTGTAACCCTTATGGGGTTGATATTTAATCCTCTCCTATTTCCTTCTCCAGCCAAAACTTCTTTGTTGATTTTTTTTTCTTCTTCATCTTCTTGGCCTAATTTTAAAACCCTAGCTGTCATTTTCCCATTTTCTGATATAACTCCTATTCTTAATTGCACTTGTAAGACTCTTTCCAATAAATTGCTACCTGCCCCTGGGACCAATAAGACATCTCCCATCCAAATTCTAGTTTCTTCTCTCGATTACCACATCTTTAATGACCAGAAATGTAAAACTTTCTCTTTTTGCCTCTGTTACTTTCACTATATGTTTGCTCACACTATAACTTTTTGGAACATATAACAGGCAGGTTCTCTCTGCCCCTGTGTCTATTACAAATTCTAATTCTTCTTCTTGAGGACCCACTTTTAAAGTTATCACAGGCTCCAGATGGTATTTGTCACCCCAAAAAAAATTAGAGCTTATGACCTCCCTATTCCTCCTATGTGCCCATCTCTTTAAGCATTTTCAGATCTTCCGCTTACTTAGGACCATTTTCCTATTTCTCTTAAGTTTGTTTATCTATTTAGTTGGAGTTTCTTCTTTCTCCTCTAAAAGCTGTCCCTCAAAAACCTTTTGTTTTTGCATTTCGCCTTTGATATGCTGTCTCATTTATTCCCTTGGTTATGTAATTACGATAATTATTCATGTGTTTACTCCCCTCCTCAATATTTTAACTTTATTTAGGAGGTACAGTTGGCATTTTGTCTTCTCTGGGGGTCCCCGTGGATTATCTTTTTCCTA